GTGTGCATGCGTGCACATGCCTCTGTATGTGCGTGTGTATGCGTGTGAGTGTGCATGTGCATGTGTGTGTGTGTGTTATGTCACCTGGCTGTTGTTCAGGGTGTGACAGCTAATAAAAAGGAACATGCAGCACATGGGAGCGTCTCTCCGACACAACCTTTATTCCACTCTGACGTCTCACGATGCTGCCAAACCTCAGAACGCCCCCGAGGCCACGCGGCCTCTTCTGTGACTCTAGGGAGAATAAAAAAGGTTTTTCTTCGTCTTTACAAGAATTCTCTGTTGTTTGTCAGATTTCAGTGAGCAGATATGAAAAGTCCCATCCAGTGCTGAGTAAATGTTGTTGATCAACATGAGTTAGTTCCTGTTGTGTCCTAAAAGGGAGCTAAAACGGTCTCCTAGCAACCCAATTAAGTTAATTAATAATCTTTAACTGTTCTGATCAAACGTTTAAAGCAAACAAAACAGCTGACCTTTACCTCTAATAATAAATATCATTGTATACGTGGATTAAAAAAATCAAAAGAGCAACAGGACATGGCATGTTTCTGATGAAGGTAATGATAAATGACCCGCACTTGTATAGCACCTCTCAGAGTAAGGACTCCAAAGCGCTTTACACTACATTGTATCATTCATCCATTCACACACACATTCATACACTGGTGGGGATGAGTTACAATGTAGCCACAGCTGCCCTGGGGCGCACTGACAGAGGCGAGGCTGCCGAGCACAGGCGCCACCGGTCCCTCCGACCACCACCAGCAGGCAAGGGGGGTTAAGTGTCTTGCCCAAGGACACAACAGCAGAACTCTCTGTCCGGATCAAACCTGCAACCTTCCGATTACTGGACAACCCGCTCAACCTGTTGAGCTACTGCTGCCCCAAGGTATTAATCCTGATGCTTCCTCTGGTTACTTTTGGTGCTTTTCCACCTTTTTGGTACCAACTTTGATGTGGTTCCAAGCGTACCAAGCCATGATGTCAGAGACCATTAATTGCTGATTAGCTATAGGTTGGTAGAATGATGACCAATGATAAGAAGCGCAAGAGTGCTCAAGCTACAACCCAGGAAATAGACGGATACTCCAAAAAGACGGCACTTGACACAATCTCGAACCCCCCGGACTTGCTGGCCCTGGATACACTGGAAAATGAACCTGAACCTGGTATCCCCAAGCTGTTGACTCTTCTTGGTACATTTGGTCATATCTCAGGTTACATGGTTAACATTAACCTTTAACATCAAACGTTGACTCGGTAGTGATCTCTGGAACTGTTCTAGACTGCTGTAGATCGTATATTTCAAACAGAAGTTTCAGTGTTTATATAAACCAAATCATGTCAGATTCTGACAATCTGTCTTGTGGGGTACCCCAAGGCTCTGTTTTGGGTTCACTGTTGTTTCTACTATACATACACAGATAATTGATTCTTTTCATAATGTCTCCTATCACCTATATGCAGATGATATTCAGCTGTACTGCTCCTGTAAGGATTCTCATAACTTGTCTGAACTATCAGTGTATCAGCTATCACCAGCTACAGTTAAACTCTGAAAAGACTGAATGTCTGATCATTGCCCCTGAGAGCATGGTTCCTCTGATTAGTCAACAACTTGGAAATTTAGCTTTTACCATCAAACTTAAGGAATTTGGGTGTTTTTGACCAATCAACATCTCTTGAAGGCCACTCTAAAGCATTGGTCCGAAACTGTTTTTATCTCCAAACTGAGAAGGTTGGTGTCAAAACAGGAATTTGAAATGGTTTTCCGTGCATTTATCTCCTCCCGTCTAGATTACTGTAACACACTCTTTACATGTTTTAACAAAAAAGCCAACTGGTCCAGAACTCTGCAGCAAGGCTCCTAACTGGACCTAACAGAAGAGCACACATCACTTCTATTCTAATGTATCTGCACTGGTAATACATTAACTTTAGAATTCATTTTAGAATCCACGCTCCGTATCTTTGTAATCGGCCAACCCCATTGTTGGTAAGACCTGGAATCGGTGTAGACGGTCACCCGCTACACATGCTCTGGGTGTGCCCAAAACTGCAGAGATATTGGGGGCCTCTGGTGTTATTTTGTATTGTTTTAATGTTTTGTTAAAATAAACGTTGAAAAACAATAAAATGACCTTGATCAAAAAAGACATGACCCCGTCTCTGGGGCCTACCCAGCACACCCTGAAGAGATCATATCACTAGACTGGTCTGGGACCAGCTTGGGAGCCTGCCAGAGCAGTTGGGCATGGACAGGGGTAGCACGTTCCTGCTAGGGTTGCTGCTCCTGAGACCTGGGCCTGGATCTGGACATGAAGAAGATGAAGGTGATCTCCTCAGAGCACCTCACCTTACCCCTGAGGTCTTTTAAATATTTTTTTTAAATGTTTATTTGAGCATAAGACAACAAATTTTAAAAACAATACTCATATAAAACATAAACACCAAGAAGGAAGCAAAGGTCTATGTGCAAAGGGAGTGGGGAGAAGCGAGGGCTGATTTAGCCCCACCCCTTTACCTCACCCTGCAACAACCTCATATTTACAATGTTCATATTTATCCTCCGACTGAGGATCATAACATCTATTTCTGATCCAATAATCAGAATAACAAGGATAGCATTATTACTAAAGACAAATTTTACATATCTTTTCCACAATAGCATTAATAGTAACATTAATAATGACAATATTAATATTATAATAATAAATATGATAATAATCAATAATAGCTAACTATCATCATTCACTTACAGTTAACATCATGTCACCCTGATAATAGATCAGATTTATAATTAATGAAAAGAAACCAAAAACCAAAAAATAAACAAAAATGTTGAATTTGTCACAATAAATGTAAACATTTTTGTATCCTAAGTGCTTAATAAACAATCTTCCTTCTTAATCCTTCCTCTGTTCTGTATTTTAGAAGTAACTTATGTTTATATTTGGTTTTGAATATTTTGATGTCCGAGCATTGTTTAAGCTCCTCCCCAAACCGTTCCAAAGTTTGACCCCGCCCACTGATACCCACATATTTTTTCCTAGTTGTTCTCCCCTCCCACATGCCCTGAGGAGGTAAAATTTTCTCTCTCTTTAAAGAGTCTTTGAATATTTCTTCTATAAGAGTTGAGCAGCATAGAAATCCACTAAATCAAAATTGTTTAACATTCTAGAGTTAAGAACTATGTGTGATCACAGTATCCTACCTTAAGGATGTTCCTTACTGCATGCTTTCGGAGTTTAAAGAGGGGTTGTAGTGAACTTTTATAATTATTACCCCACAGTTGACATTGTTTAAATTATAAGTAAGTAATTTTTTATAGTAGAATTTCTTTTACCTGCTCTTAATATATCCATTTTCCATTTTCATCCGCTTATCCGGAGTCGGGTTGCGGGGGCAGTTGCCTAAGTCGAGAGGCCCAGACTTCCTTCTCCCCAGCCACTTGGGCCAGCTCCTCCGGGGGAATCCCAAGGCGTTCCCTGGCCAGGTGAGAGACGTAGTCCCTCCACCGTGTCCTGGGTCTACCTTTAGGTCTCCTCCCGGTTGGACGTGCCCGGAAAACAAGCGGAAC